TAGTCTCGGGATCCTGTTACCCTGTGCGCACAGGCACAGGACACAACAGCTGGCGTTTCTCCTGCAAGCGGCTCTTTTCTGCAGAGATCTTTGTTAACTCCTTACAGCACACTGTTCAACCTTAATAGTCTTAAGTGACTTCTGACTTGAGCGAACCTTCTGCTGTCGACAATCTCTCTGGCAAAAGGTCATCTCGGGACAGAAAGTAATCTTCAATGCCCCCAGAATGCAGCCCTCATTGAACACTAGCGAGCTTGAGATGTAAGCCTTTCACTTTTTTGCAAAAACCTGGTACTTTGCTCGGGTAGTAAGCACTGTCTGCAGCACGCGTAGATGGCCTAGGTAGCTTTGTCTACCACTACGCCCGAGCTCGCCTCCAGTAGTCCTGACTGTATCTTGCCAAAGGACTCATCTGGTTGAATAAGGAGAGTGTGTGGCAAATGCCGTCGAAGTCTGTTATCACTATAAGTCAGTTAACGCACCGCAATATGGGGCACACTCCTGGCATCGTCGTCAAACTGTCATGCTATTTTCGTGTGATAACGAACCATACTTTATGTAAAACAGGAGACAGGCCCCATACTAGATTCAGCATCCACAGTACACTCAGTTTTGAGCAAATTCAACGAAAATATTACTCCACGGTTTCTACATGACTCGATTTATGGTGCCAGTTGGGGGTTCCACTCGACATTCCCCTAATTGCCTGTTTTCGTCTTAGACTGAAATTGCAGCTATATTTAGATAAAAGTGAGCAGATATTGTGCTGATAGGGAAAGCCTAGAACCTCTTACACATCAAGGCTATGCGTGCACTAGTTATTCGAGACACGTCAGCGGTGTCTACTTACTAGCAACACTCAAAACCGAAGTGCCATGCACCTCCTCTTAAAACTTTTTCAGAAGTCCAGTACAGTCTTCTGGAGGATATTATTTAGAGGACACTGAGTTGACTTCGTGCGAATTAAGAATGCTTTTGAAAACGATGTGAATCCGTCTTTTACATGATGTTTGCAACTTCGTTTAAGAATGCACAGAAGTGTTAAATATGAACAAAGCAAAATTATCATCGACTTGGGACCCGTCAATAGCTTACCTCTTACTGTTTCTGCTGACAGCAGCCATGAGCGGAGTATAATCCATCTGATCTGTGACTTCGACCTTGGCGTTACTGAAAGGTGAACATGTTTGTAAGGCTAGCTGCGGAGTGAATGTTCTTGCTACATGCAACAAGAATCAGTCAGTCAGCCTGCTAAAACCTCTATCCACAGAAAACATTATCAGCCAGCTAGATTATTGACTGGGTCAATCTACAGTTTCTCCGCTGTACCTTATCTTGCATCCTTGTACGATATCATCACATTTAAAAGGAAAAAAGGCTGACAGTGCAATTAGGTTAACCGAGAGCCTGAATCAAGTACATTGGACTGGTATACACGTACCAGGTAGCGGGTACCTTAGTGAGCTTCTTTAAAAATATTACGCCTAGTCTATTCTACAGTTAAGCCCACTTAGATAGGCAAGTTAGAACCTACTGTGCTAATTATTACCTGATGTCGAGAAGTAGAGAACCAATACTTCATTTATCAGGTCAAAAGTAACAAAACTTACCACAAATAATTGGACTTTGCATTTTTACTTTTATCTTCCATCTTACCTTGTGCTTAAAATCCTCTGTATAGTGTCCATGTCCTCAAATTTTATAGCCTTGTGCAAATCAAATGCAGTATCTGGCTCCTGTGGTGTCTCAAATACTTCGATGCTGCCAAAAGGGCCAAAATCTTTTTCCCACTTCAGTCGCAACCGCAACTCATATTCCGTTCCAGGTTCTAGTTCGTGGTACACGCAGTAAGTTCCATTGCCACTAAATTTCGAGCAGCTTAACAAGAAGGAGAAGGGCACCCTACAAGTATATCTGCTCCCACTTGTTGCTATCCTTTTTCCGCAATGTGACTTCCATGAAACAGATAACGTCCTCCTCAGCGAGCTCTTCAAGACACTCAAACCATTCTACTTTGACGGAATGAAAATCTGGAATTGAGATGACGGGGAAGGGTGGATAAAGGTCCTCCACGCGCATGACCCATGCGGAATGAGCGTACGGAATATCGATTTTGATTTAAAACGATGCGCGCTTATAAGATAGCGCACACAAAAAATACGCATGGCCAGCTTCTGTCATGGCTGTCAGTATTGCAATGAGCGTTCTTAGATAAATCGCCTGGACGGTCGTTTACCATGTTGACAAATTAAATGTCGGTTTTACTGGATGATTTTAAGGCCGCGCCTATGTCTTACAAAACCGTTTACTCTAAAATAAATACACCCGACTGATGCGAGAGAATTGCAGCATGAGAAAATTCAGGCTGATCGCGAAGAAGGTCCCTTAGCTGAATCATCTGTGGTAATTGATAGTGGTTCTAGTTCAGTTCCCCTGATGCCGCATAATAACAGTGTCTAGGCGTACTTCAAGTGATCAAGTCTTATAAGAATAAGAATTTTTATGACATCTTTTCACCAGTCACCGAATAAACCCAGTGAACTGGTTCGATAGTTGATTATCTGCTTAGTCGCCGTGACGGTGCTTCTGGTTATCAGGAACTTTACCTCTCATTATCAGGTTTTTGACCAAAATACTACAGGGGTTCCCTTCAGCAAAACCTATTTAATCTTTGGCACTATGATATTCGTAGCGTTCTCAACACAAACATGCTTCATCAGTTTCCGGTGTCGAAAGATGGAACGTGACGAAAGATGGAACTCAGACAAAACCATATTCTATCTTAGTGAATGTCAAAGACTGTTTGCACGCGCCACACACGAACGGACCTTCGATTCTGCATGACCTAGCCCCGCAAATTAGAATGCCGTAAAGGATACATCAGGAGATTAGCACTGCACGCAGCCTATCAGCCCTGAGAAGGCTGAAGCCAGGCTTCGAGGAAGGACGGTGGTTTCAGACCTCAGACAACCGTGCCTGTTGCATGGACCCTATCGCGGTCCGATCGCCAGCTCTGAGTAGGATTAATTTATCGCGTCAGGCTATAACCTTCCAAACTATGACTTTTATTTCGTACTGATAGCCTGAAAGATTTTTAATTCACTCGTGGGGAGGCAACTAACCACTGATTACCAGTTAGATCGACTTAATGCTGCCGTCCCTCCCGCTTCCCCCGTCCAAGCCAAAGCTGAGTACAGCGACCACCTTCGAAGGCTTGTAGTGTAGCTGCAGCCCGACGCCCTCCTAACTCGTGACGACACAGACGAGGACACTCAGAGCATAGGCTCTCGAGCGAAGACAGTTTTCGGCGGGTCTCGGACAAGACGCAATCGTGCGCATCTTAACTCCCGTCCTCGTTTCAATCCACAATGGCTCGACATCAATTCGTCCAATGAGATTCCCGCGTTAGTGGACTAGCCTCATTTAGTTGGTTGGCCTCAATCCGTGTGGACACAGACCACAATGTGGTGTCGATCCCTAGACATCACTTCGGATCTAGCGTTCCTCGCGGCTGGATGTGCGCTCCGACAGTCAAAATCTCCTCCTAACTATTTTCTAGCCCTTCTGTACAGAATAAACTATTCATATCACTCTGGCCTTCCCATGACTTCTCTTTTCCCCTAAAGAACCGGGCCTGGAAGATCGCAGCCGTTATGATTAACCTGATTAGCCTTAACACTACGCGATAGGCTTGCATCGTATGAACTCGAATATCACAGAATCACTGCCGATGATCATCGCCCTAAAGGATGGTCGAGCTATACCAGCAGTTGGCAACCTCCCAAGCCGCAAGTGTTAGCAGTTCTTGCTAGTTTGGTAGCGTCTAGGCAATTGTGAAAAGACAGGAATACATTTTATTATGAGAGTATAATTTCATAATTTTCAGCAAAACATCCTCCATGATACAAAATAACAGATTACGAGTTGGTTGAGAGAGTAAATGGGTTTACGCAAAACTATAGAACAATCATCCGCAATATTTAAGTGTCAACTTCGTTATTTTGGGCCTCTTTGCGTGCAGCCTATCTTGCCAGATATGATGACACTGCACGTTGAGAGGCCGATGTGTAGCGAGGGAGAGCCTGAAGCCACGGCGCGGGCGACTGGAGATACACTGCAGCAATTAACTCGGAATGAAGTAGATGGATAACATCATTCAAAATGTAATCAGTAAGTGTCTTGGCAGCAGCAAACTGTTCTCGTATTATTATTTCCATCAAAAACTACTAAAAACAATGAGCAGCAGAAGTGCCATAGGGACGTTGTTTGAAGGGAACATCTGTTCTTTAGACAAAACAGGCCAGTAAGAAGAATGATAAGGAGAATTCAGACATATATACACCTCCAGCTCAGGGGACGACGTTTATGATATGACCGTAGTCGACGAATGTAAGTAGTAGGTTGGCAAATTTGATTGATATTTTCAATTTTGTGTAAGCTTTTGAATTTCAGCCGCCATTCTCCATGCTCCTCTTTCACTAAGACAGTTCCTCAACTGGTTAGCAAGTTGTATTTAAGTGCCAACCAAAGAATGTGTTTTCGAATCCACGTTTTCTTCTAACAAACTGTCGTTAGATTTTTAATAAAACTCTCAATATGGAAGTACTTCTGCTAGGAAAGGAACACAATAAAACTGAAGTAATATGTGTCAGGAGACGTACCTGAATGGTGATATTGATTCGCAGCTATCTACTCCTCCGTTCTTCGACCGCTTTCGAAAAGATGAAAAACCTACATTATGCAGCAAAGGTGGAGGGGTGGCTAGTTTTGCAAACCAGAATTAGTGTGGAAACTGCAGGTTCTCATTTGCATACTTTGATGACTTGGTAGACGTTATTGCTGCTATATACAAACCCGTTTGTTAGGTTTTATATTTGTACCTGTGCAGGTGTTTCAGTCTAATTTTTCCGCTTTATGAGAAACTAGTTGGTGATTCCTACGGTCATTTTTATATTTCAGCCTACCCTTCAAAATAATATAGGACACCAAACCAGCCCCGTTTTTAAGGTACTTTTTGGTCGTTGTGTTTGTAGGAGCCAAAACCGACCCCTATGTTTGCTACGGATTTTGAAGTGCGCTAACACTCAATGTTAGTAACCGTGATCAACATCGGTCTGCAGGCTGGTCCAGGGAGTCATCAACCCGAAGGATTGGAAAGGAGGGCAAAAGAACCCCGATGATCGCTTGAGTACTGACTCGACAGTTATGTGTTTCAGTCTCTCTAATTGCAATAAACGTTTGTTTCGATAACCCTCTCTTAGCGGCTTGTGTGTCGAATATTCGACCGACAGTAGAAAGTTTCCATGGCATCTCAGGCGACCGACCAAGTTGCTCATCAGAGCGAAGACTTTTCTGAAGGATTAAATATCGCTTGTGATAATAGAACCAGCCCAAAGAGAAAAGATAGATCCAGCTCGTACATTGAACTGGTGGCTGCACCATCTGCGGACCCACCTACAACTCATACTAACCCCACACCCTCATTTTGTCCGCCCTTTTGACGGCCGCCGTGATTTTCACAACTGACTCGAACTCTTACGATTACACGTAGACGACATAACTCACGCTCAACGAAGCGGTTTATTTATCAACATGTCGCAGATGACCAGCTGTATAAAGTGCCGAAATTCGGTTTGACTGTGGCCACCCTCTTTGATTTTCCTTGTGATTAATTCCTTAGATTATTCCAACCCCCTCTAGAAGTCAAAGACGCCATCCATCAGATTATCCACCATCGTCGGAGGCCAGAGGAGGCCCCTGAGCTCTTTGCTCATGACTTGATGCAGCTGGCGTCCGCCGCCTATCCTTCACTCGCTTTATCCGCATGCTGTGAGCAGAAGTGTAACCGATAAGTTCAACCACAGATCCCCTCTCCTTTTCTGCCCATGATAGGAATCTTACGCATGCGTAAGAGCGCATTACCGGCGCGTTGAGACGCATTACAGCGAAGCGGAAGACAAAATTGCTGAATTACAACATCTTCGACGGGTACTGAGAGCGAATGGATACCCACGCAATTTTCTCAACCAGTGCAACAAACAAGGACGGTAAAGTTAAGGGAGACGGAAATGGCCATTTCTGGCTTATTAACTGCCATCAGCCAGATGCAATCTCTGTCCCGGCAATACTGTCTGCCTACTACCAGCTGTGAAGGCTGTATCGAGGCCCAAGGCAGATTGGGACAGATGAGTTCCGTTAGCGGTCGGAAGAATATTCATCAACGAGTGTCAATATCCCCTGACGTAAACCGGCGAGACAACGAGCTCATGGCTCAATGGCTACGGCATTTGAATCTGACCAAGGAGGTCGCGAGTTGGAGACTCGAGTGGGGCTCCACTTTGGTCTGGGTATGACTGGCAATACTACTTACCTATACTACCAGCTGTAACGGCTGTCGAGGCCCAAGGCAGAACGGGATATATGAGTCCCGGTAGCGGTCAGGTGAACGTTCAGCAAAAAAGGACTGTTTCAAAGACAACCCTCTCAAACAGATACAATGGCGTGCAGGATCGTTTAACCAAAGTACAAGGCTGATGCGGTGTCTAGGAACAGACCGATTGCGAAAACAACAACGAAAGGCGTGTAGCTTACGTCGCTGCGAGAAGTGTTTCCAGACGGCCGTTTGTGCTGGGTCTTGGAAACCGGCGAATCCAGATCACTGACCTGCTGCAGCAACAAAAAAGTCAAGTCATGTAGATGAATGAGAAGCGGCCAGACTACTGTCTAAAGTTCAGCGTCACGCTATGCCGGCACCGCATAAGAAGCGCAAACGGCCCCTGCTGATAGCTGAAGATTCTGTCTTCTTGTCAATGCCTGATGCACAGACGACAGAGACGTTGGCGGAAGATCCAGTAGAAAAGTGACCAGTTGTTTTGCTGAAGGGACAATCCGTTCCCGATCCGCCCAACGTACCGACCCTGATACTGCTATCATCTACAGAAACTTATCCGAATGCCCCCCAAACCCAAAGAAATAGAGATGCGTGGTTCCAGTCCCAAGGCCCGTCTTCTTCTACAACACTGGCTCAACCTCCTGATAGAAAATAATATTTTGTTCCTTCGCGACCCTGACTCCCACCA